AGGTGAAGACTCCGCACTGTGCGGATTAACACTCCGCAACTCTGCACTATGCGGAGCTCAAGTTCAACTCCGCATAATTATAGAGATATGGAATTGCTATAAATCATCTTTTCTCTTCATCAATTCAGCTTTACCGTCTTCAGTTTCTTCATCTCCATGCAAAGCAGTGTCACCATCAGATCCTTCTACTTCTTCCTTAGGTGGTGATTTTGTTTTTGCCTTTTCATTTTTTTCTTTACCATGAATAACTGGTTTGTCAAATGTTGATTTACAATTAGCTAAAAATGAGAGCACTTTTTCACTGCTGGATATATAGAACAAATTCTAGAACAACATTTAGAAGTGCTTAGTTTGGAAAGAACTATTGGATGTTTCACTTGAAAACAGAGAATGCACAAGTAGAACAAGTTAAAGCTCCCATTGACAATGCATTATCTTTCCATTATATTTTACAAAACTTTATATCTGAAGAATACAATAAATCTAATGTTAACATTAGTTATATTTCTGAGAATGAAACAAGAATAAAATGAGGGGAAAACGTACAGTTGGACCTGCAAGCAAGGACGTTCGAGAATCGATAATAGCAGCACAACTACCCTCACCACCACCCTTTTCTACTTTCGTATAATGATTAAGATAGGCCATTTGTTCTCTGTAGCATTTGCATTGATGATCAACAATATTCCATAGCCTTTGAGTGTGTGTGATTCAATGAAGAAAAGTAAAATAGGCAGCAACTTGCTAGAAAACAGAAAAACACCATTGAGCAGAAAAGAAAAATAAAACTCAAAAATTGTAAAATGCAACCACCTTGCAGCAAGTGCTTGTGGAAGAGAGATGAACAATAAACCATCTTGCCGGCATAATAGAGAAGGTGCTCGACAGTGAGGGAGATGGCCACGATGATTGTACATACGGCGGCGGCCACCGAAGTTGGGGTAAACTCTAACATCGCCCCTTCCTCTTCTCCATCGTCACTCATTTTTTCAAATTTGAAAAAAATCACAAACCCACCTCACAAATGTGAAAATATCTCCCTGCAAACCAATTAAGAAAAAAGATTCAAATTCAACCAAAATGGAATTCAAACGATCAGGGGTGGATCCAGGAAATTTGGGTACATGGGCTAAAATTCAAAGTCAATAGGTACGTTTTTGAACTAAATTTGGATTTGACATCAATATATATCACCCGGCCATCTAAGCCTCCATAGGTAGAAGGCAAGGAAGCTAGTAATGCAAGCTTCAGGCAAAAGTAAAACTATAGGTGCAAAGAATAAAAGTGGATCAGTTCAACAGATAAAAAACCTAATCACCATGTAGAGGACACACGAGAGACCAAGTGACACAGAACACAAGCACAGAAGTTAAATTCTACAATTAGTTTATCCAAAACAAATTTTCATGCTTTTGAATGAATTACAAGTCATTGTGATATGTAGCCACAATCAATGGTATTTGCTCAACCCATTGGCAACTTACATATTTAGGAGGAATAACTTTGAAAATAATGGTATCAAATACATGGGAATTGCAGAATATGAATTGGTCTAGATCAGACTGAATCAATTGTCTGAGGGAACAAGCATGATGTTCGATTGCAACTGTGACAACCAAAAAAACATAATTTTGCCAAACTTCACCCAATGAGAAAAAGACAATTTACTTAATATTATCCTGCTGAAGCACAATGAGATAAATG